TGCGCGTTCAAGGGGGCAATGAATACAAATGTTATCGAACAAATGCGTTAAACAGCACAACAGACGTAGTATACAAATACTGTGCGTGTACAGGAGTTTGTTCTCATCAACCAAAGAGAGCGCCCAGCTTCTGACCTACCTAAATCTAGTCAGCTGGTGCAATCAGGGGCTAATCACAATGGGGGACTTCAGTGCTCCGGAGATTCGATGGGAAGAAAACCGGGCACTGAATGGTACATTTGGTGCAAGTTTGACCTCGTACATAATGGTAAGGACACCACCAGAATGTACGACAGCAAACAAGATGGCGACAGGGCCACACACCTGGACTCCTTGACTTTGTACTCACCAAAAGCCAGAATGAGGTGCACGGTCTCGAGGTTACGATGCTACCGGGTAGAAATGACCATGGAGTGGTCTGGTTCGCCTACCACCTCCACTTCCAAGTTAGGAAGAAATTTTGGGAAACTGAATTGTAGGGGTCCCGTTCAGGCAGCCTCAGTTATCTGTTAGGAGGGACAGGGATTATCGGTAGAGGAAGACTGGCGGGTCATCAAGGGCAGCGCACTTATATTGACGGATCTGTTTGCTCCACTGAGAAGGGTAGGTCGACAGGGGAAACCACTCTGGTCGATGGGGAGGGCGCACATGGCGAAGTGCATAAAAAGTAGAGCCTGGAGGGCCTTCAGGGAGACATACGGCTACAGCAAGCTCGATGGTCTTCGGACAGACAAAGGAAAAAGTCATACGGGTTTAACTAAGCTTTCGCTTGCAATATGAATTCCGACTTGCAGAAAAGGCCCAGACATGTCCGAAGGTCTTTTACAATTATGTTCAGTCCTAGGTAGCAGTAAGAGAGACGGTAGGGTGTTTCACTGATGCCACGGGCGCCCACTCAACCACAAACTCAGGTAAGGTAGATGTTTTGAGAGAGTTTTTCGAGCGAGTACACCGGGCGGACTCCGGGAGAGAACCTGAGACTGTATCTCCAACACTGAAGGGGAAATGTCGGAGTTTACCATAACCCCTGCAGAGGTAAGAAAGGAGCTTCAGGAACTAAAACAGTCCAAAGCGGCTGGACCGGATGGAGTCCATCCAGCCATCTTAAAGCCATTGGCTGAAGTATTGGCCGAACCCCTAGCCAAACGTTTTAACCAGTCTCTGTGCGCAGGGGAGTTACCCACGGACTGGAAGTTAGCCGAGGTTGTTCCTATACACGAAGGGTTGTAGGGAAACAAAAACAACTCCCGGTCAGTGAGTCCGTCTGCTCTGTTCGTTTCAGACTCGGTTGGTTTGGACCTGCCGAAGGCTTGGAGTCTACACCCACAGTGGACAAGTTGGTTTCGGCAAGGTTTGTTGGGCGCGGTTGCCTCTACCGTTTTGTCTAAATGCGTCCGCATTTCGGACCAGGTTAATGAACACACCCTGTTACGGCAGTTGATACACTGTAGTTAAAACAAAAGGTTTTCTATTCTTCTTTACTACTGTTTGTTTTCTGTTATTTCCACTCTTTGCTGTTTGTAACCTCCTGTTTGTTTAAAAGTTCCAACATAACGTTTTCGACGTTTGATCTCGGGACATATTGCTTGGTCAGCTCCGTTGAGCTTGGTGTACATTTTCGTTTGGTTGTTTCCTGCGTTCTGCTTGGGTGAGCATACATCCAAGTATGTTTTTTCCTATATGTACAATTTATTGTAATGTGTTTTAGATGCCGTATAAACGTCGTGGTCTACCGTATGTATTCGTTTTTTCATTGCTCGTTCTCGTCGGATTTGGTTAGTTAGGATCGTTCGTTATCGGGTTGAATACGTTCGTTCCAGTGCGGAATTTATTGTCGACAGCGTGTACGAATTTGTTCATTCTAGTTGAGGAGTGATCGTTATTCCAAAGTTCAGGCCCGTTCGTGCTAGATCGTGGTGTTGGTGTAGTTTAGTACGCGTACTGGACTTACGAGCTCAAGCGGGCGCAACACACCACCTGCCTCACCTATATGGTGTTTTAAGATTAGCTGTCTGGTGTGTAGTCAGTCCCACATCAAAGCGGCTTACGCCTAAATAGTATAAACAATACAAGCCAAACAA